TATGTACAAAGAGCAGACTGTGACAAGTTTGCTTAGAATAACTGCTCGGACAGCCACCACCTCGAGGGAAGTTTGAAGGGGTAATTGTGTACATGCTATACCTTGACTAACTATAACCGCTACACGACCGGATGGTGGCATGGCACCTTCTCTATCCTTTCGGAAGATTACGTAGTTACGTAAAAAGTTTGTGTTTGCTCGTTTTAAGTGTGTCTCTTGTACACACAGCACTCTTGGATTGTGTTCATGGAGGAGTTCTTGTAAGTCATCGAGGTTTCGAAGAAGGCCTCGGATGTTCCACTGTAATATTTCTGTCTGCATATTTAAACAAGAGAGATGCTGCTGTGTGTACAAAGAGTATCCTGTGTTGGAGTGAGCTCGTTAATTCAGGTGGCAGGACGGTCGTCCGGCCCCGTTATTGATTTTTTTGCTTTTCTTGGCACGCTCCAAGGAGGCGCGCCGCTTTTTCGGTACCAAGGGTACCGTTGTATCCATTGCCTCCTCAGAGGCACTGGATGCCCGCACATGCGAGCTGGTGGTTTGGATTTTAGGCCTCGCCTGGTGAGGCGAGGCCTTGAGACCAGAGGACCCTGGAGTCTCCGGCCTCAATTTGCTTGGAGGCGGAGTAGACTGAACTACTGCCGCCTTGGGGGCAGGCGCCACAGCCGATGGCTCGCTTTGCGCTGGCCGAAGGGGTGGCGAAGGCTGGTGCGGCGTTGCCCCCTGACGCGCCGCATCAGCATATGTTGTGCCGTAAAATGGCGACACTCTTCGTCTTGCTTCTTTGAATGTGATATTTTCTTTGACTTTAAGAGTGATAATTTCTTTTTCTTTCTTCCAGTTAGGACACGAACGTGAAAATGCGGCGTGTTCCTTGTCACAATTCACGCAGTAAGGCGTAGTAACACAGTTACCAGATGGGTGGCCGTGGCTACCACATCTTGCACAAGTTTCCTGACCCCGGCAGTTCTGCGAGCCATGACCAAATCGTTGACATTTATAACACCGTCTTGGATTGAGAATGTAGGGACGGACAGAGAGTTCGATGTAGCCTGTGTCTATAGATGAAGGCAGTGTGCTAGATGCGAAAGTGAGTATTAAATGTTTGGTAGGTATTTCTTTGTTGTCGCGTCTGATGACGATTCGTTTCACATCGGTGACATTTTGCTCTTTCCACCCTTCAAGCAGTTCCTGTTCAGACATTTCAAGAAGGTCTGCTTCTGAAACAACTCCGCGTGTGGTATTCATTGATCTATGAGGTGAAACAGATACTGGGATATCACCAAATGCTACGAGACTGCAAAGTTTTTTATAGTGATGTTTTTCAGGCAGCTCAAGGAGGTCTCCACTAGCCATCTTTGTGACCTTGTATCCTGGGCCAAAGACCTCAGTCAGAGATTTCGCAACAAGAAATGGAGATATGGCTCTGGCTTGTTTTGTTGGATTTTCGCTGTGCACAACATGGAATTTTGGAAAGCATTGTCTAGGTTGGCTGAAAATTGATATTTCATCGGTGCATCCCCTCTTAAGCGGAAGACGATCTAGGAGACAGGGAAATGCAGGTGTTCTCATAGTAGTGTACTTTTTTTTTTCGGCAGCAATGGCGACCACCCACCATGGAGTCCAACCAGGGGACGCTGAAGCACTTAATAGCATAAGGCTGCAGACGCCAGCCGTACATTGCCACTATAACCAAATATAACTACTCAAGGTTGAGTAATTACACAAGGTTAACCCTTGCCAACAGAAAAATTGGAAGTAAACAGAGGAGAGAAGTAGACAGGACAGACTAAAAAAGAGAGAGATAAAGACGAAGTTGTAGGGGAGAGAGATAGGAAAAGGTGACTGCCGATTTCCCCTGGGTGGGTCAGCCCAGGGGTGCCGTCTACGTGAAGCCGGGGCCAAAGGGGTGTGTTGCCTCTGCCGGGGGGCCTTAAAGGTCCAATCACGCAGCGTCGGCTCAACCCCCAGGATCCCCTTTTCCCCGGACACGGCAAGGCCACGCACGGCTAGGCGTGGGAGGGAGTCAAAACTCCCCCGTTAGCTTGGGTCTGTGGTGTCGCTACACACCAAACGCGGGGTTCTGGGCTATGTTCCCTAATCTGAAATGGGCTTGGAATCATACCCTGTGCCTCCACCAGTTTGTAACGAACAAATACAATGCCGGAAGCTACAACAACAATTTATTTATGGTGAACTTGTGCCCGTCAACTAAATACACAAAGGTTTCCTGAGCTCGCTAGTGAAAAACCTCGTCAACGTCTTTTTTATGCATCTCGCCGCATGCCGCTCCTTCGAAAAACCTCTAGCCTTCTTTTTCCGGTGCGTGGTGTGGTGACACGTGCAGCCAGTGTTGCATGGCGCATTTAGCTTGGCACGTTTGGCTTGTCAGTTGCTGTGGCAGAATTCATTAGAGCAGGAAGCGGCGCAAGACTTCGGTAGGTGCCTAACAACATGCAGCGATATGTTGTTTTTAGACCCAAGCATTTTGTGGTTTTTTAACAGAATCACTAAATGGAGAACCCTCACGACTTTTAACATCAAATTTTACTTACCCTCAAAGAAATTTTGAATCAGGCCAAAGAAGATTACACATGGTTGTCCTAAATCAGGGGTCTCAGCTAGCAAGTGGCAGTAACGACGTTTAGACCCACAAGGGGCGAAATATGAATAAAGTCGAAGTGGGGAGTTGGGGGGGAATCGAGGCTAGTTGAAACTTGAACAAAATGTCAACTAACGTTGCCATTTGAGAGCAAGTATTTTCCATGTGTAATAAATAAGTAAATTTTGAGGGGGATATGACAGGTTTCAAGAAACATATCAAGACTGACCTCCAGAATGACTGCAACCTAAGCATCAATTCTGAAATATAGTTTTTGTTACCCAGTTATGCTTTACAGCATGGTGACCACATGAGGTACCTTAAGGAAAGAATGATTGAGTCCAATATGTACGTCTCTGTGGCTCATGAAGAAACTTACTAAGAAAAAAGTGTGAGACAAAGACCATCACGTGCGTGGCGGGTAATTAACAAAGTGTTCATGGGTCACGTGTTTGAGATCCCTGTCTTAAGTAAAAACAGACTTCGAATATACTTCACATGTGACATTTTTTCTTTCCTGAATCAGGATACTTTGAAATGAAAGTTGATTTAAACATCTACTTCATAAATTCTACTCATCATGAATCTAATGTGCCCAAATAAATAAAAAATGGATGACCAATCTTGGCTAATAAGTCATATCAAGTTTTAAAGCAACCCTGCAGGGTATGCCACAGTCAGGTAACCTGCACGATTCATGCAGATCTAGCGAGACATACGTTATAACTGGCCTAGTATTGAACAGATGCGCTCTTCACTAATAGGTGACCTTATTAAAAATAAACCACCAGTTGAGAACAGCGGAGAAAAATCTTCAAGAGCTAGCTGGTTATTTTAATGGTGTTAAATAATTGTGCAGGCCATGAAAAGGACCACCCAGGGGGCAGAACACGAAGAAAATTGAAATATATCATGCTGTTTTATTTTCCGCCAAGTGTTAAATATGCATTTAAACTACTGTTTTGCCACTACTACAAAAGTGTCCATTCCTGTAATTAAAGCCACTTGCATAAAGCTTACTATTTGTAATTGGACACCACATATTTCAGCTAGCGACGCACCACTTATGGTAGTGGCAAATATACCACGAATTTACGAGCAAGCAGCGTTGCAAGATTAGATTGTAACACCCTCCCTAGCATTATCAAGCTTTGTAATGCATGAGTAAATGTTGATCGAGTGTTCAGTTGCATCAATTTCATGTATAAGTTCCCAGACATGCTCAGCAGCCCACACAATCCACTTCAGATATTCTACTGTAGCTGCATACCCAATACAGCCCAACTGAACTTAATTTTAAACCAAAGTGCCTAGACATTCACAGCAGGCTGTCTGGGTTGCTGATAAACCCTCCTCACCCCGTTTTCTTTTCTTTTTATTTATTTTATAAGTTTCTATATAGAAAAAAGTTATGATGTGGTGCTGCACCGAGCCACCAGAGAAACGTTTTTCTTACAGCAGGCACACACATTTTTCAGTGGCGAAACCCCCTACTTCCAGGTAGAACAGTAACCAATTTCTAAAAAAAAATCCCCCCCCCCTTTTTTTTTCAGTACTGTAATTATCGTAATGCTCTTGCAAGGAGCTTCAATCTCATTGGGACAAGTGTGTTATATTCATTATATTTAGAATCAAACTACCTTAAACATCCAGGAAAAAGAGTAAGGAATCTTCACAGAAAGGTTTCCACTGTACTAAATTCTGTGAAGCTACCAGATAGCAATGCTAATCCACATGTTTCTGCCAAGAGCTCAAATCTAATATTTCTCGTGTGCATGCTTAGAACAATATCATTCAACCTCATACTGCTATCGCTAGTGATTAACACTACAGTGCTATCATGTTCTCGTTTAGTTTCTCTTCCCTATTTAGATGAGCACGAATAATACAGGTTGACAATAATGTTCACAGTAAAAAACTAAATGCAATGATGATAGGAAAAATGTTACATTTAAATTATAAAGTATGCCACCGGAGTGTTTCTCTATAAAGAACTGAATCCTCCACAAATGCTGTTCACATGGTTGCTGCCATATAAGGCATAGTACACATATAATAAGGCCCTGGTAAGGTCTGATGACTTCTAGGAAAACCTTCTTCTAGGCAGCTTTCTTTCTCAGATAGTGCACATTTCTTTCACTGAATTTCCTGCGTGGCCATTACACATTTAAATTGACAAATTTTACATAAGTCAAAGGCTGATTAATCTATCAATCCTGAAAGCGATGTACACATGAAAGTGTTGTGATTAATTATCATAATTTCACTCAATGATAATTTGTCTAGTATTTCGCACGTTACTGTACCTTTACCCTAAAAAACACCTCAGGCTAGGTGTACAATTTTTTTTAATCGACGGGCACTGGTGCAGACAAACGTCTGTAAGAGAGAGGCTTACTTGTTAGGGCACCTCCTGTCAATGGTGCTACCAGGCCCATGAGCAAGATAAGCAGTGGGGTAAAGCGGCCTATCTGTTGCTTCCTCAGCATACTGAAGGCCACCACTGCAGCTACGAAGTGAACAAAGAGAGACGAAAACAGCGCCCACAGGAACACCTGGTACCAGATCTCTGCAGCAAGAAAAGAAAACACAAAAATAAATCTTTACTGTGTTGCCAACCCTAGGTGATTTGTGCTCATGGTTTCCGCACGGGCGGCGTGATGATTACTTTACCGAGGCGACCCCCACGATAAGCGAATTCTTTCAGGAGGGGCAGGGAGGTGGGAAACTTAGCCATTGTGCTATGACTATGTTTCCCCTTGGGGGGGCGACGGGGAGGCAGGCGAGAATTTCGGGCGGGCTCCAGCCCCCCACCCCTACCCCCGTACCCACCCCTGGCGCTGCCCCTGGGTTTCTGCCTTCTTAAGTATGACAGGCTGCTATGATATGAAACCTTACTCACATTTATCCATCATTGTATAGAAGCAATGCAGTTGTGCAAAAGATATTCCTACTATGTATCATGACTTTTGTCATTTACCATATGGCTGTAACACTGCACCTCAGACAGTGCAGCTAGAAACTTGTTTTTTTAAATCGATAGCCTAATTCAATGACATCCCACAAAAACTTCCTTGAAGCGGTTTGTATAAATGCAAGTTATAGGAAACAGCAAAAATCTGGCATCCAAGCAGCCTGAAACACACACAATCAGAGGAGAATTTTCTATGTGTCTGTTCATATGTTATAAAGAGCAACTGCATTTAATTTCATACTCAATCTTATTTCAAGATACATCCTTCACCAAACAGAGACAGCCAAAACTTTGCAAGGCTTTAGCAGACTTTGGGAGCTGTAAGGAAGCTCCCATAGGCACCCGGCAATGCAGTTTGCTTGTATACTCGCGCCGCCTAGCAGCGGTGATTAGAACCCACGAGGCGGCCCTTCGCGGCATTTCACTATTATGCGCATTGCGAACAGGCGAAACAACATATCAGCGCGTCGTTTTTCAATGGAATTTACTGCAGCCTGTTGATAACTCCGTCGTCAGAGGTGCAAAAAAAAAAAAAGAGCAAACGCAGATACTGCTGCGTTAAGGATTGCTAGAACGAAGAAGGGGACGCCGGTGTCATAATGTATGGTTTCCATCGAGATTGTGGGAAGCAACTCGGCGGAGAAGTGGATCGTCGCTGTTCGGAGCGTCAAGTAAGTGTCGCTCTTGCGAATTTTTGTTATAAACATCTGAGCAAAAATAATAACAACAACGCACGGTAATGTTACAACTGCTCACAAGCGTGTGTTAAAGCACGCACAGTAGTTGTCACTCGTGAAACCTAACGTCGTAAGAACTTGGACGCACGGCTCATTTTCCTACGCATTGATTTGTCAACGTGCCTTGTCGCTTTTTTGTGCACTAGGACGATGACTAGACTGCTGGAACGGACTCATTATTGCCGAGGCTTTCTCGTGCTTAGTACGACAGAAATAAGGCTGGAGTGCACCGCGTAACATGTGGAGTATTCGCAAATTACTGCTTCTCTCGCGCACAAGTTTTGTTTTCTTGTTATTGTCAGCTGATTGCTTCATTACTCGTCACGTATTTGTATATTTGCGTTTCCCTCGCGCACACTTGCACACGTTTTGTTTTCCCGTTATTGAGTGTGAGCTGACTGCTCTCAATTCAATGTTTCAGTGCCGATGACCTCTCATCTTGGAAGCCTAACGAGAATACCAGGATATTGCTCAAGGCATTTCAACAACCGTGAAAAAGCACTATCGAGAATAATCCTGATTACCTTCCGAAGATGTTTCCTCCTGTATACAAGAGGCGGTCGACAGCTCCTGCTCAACAGCTTTCGAGATTTTTTAGTAATAAAACTACAAGTGACAGCTGATCAAGAAATGTATGCGGTCGTATTTGTGCACTTAAGTGGAATTCAACGTCGTAAGCATGCTTGCTTTGCTGTGACAAGCACTTTGCTGCGATGTTGGTGTTCACTTTTTCATCAGTGTACACATGGTCGTTGTCGTACAGCGCGCGTCCCTTTTCAAGCGCTGGTGGTCGAAAATAGGCATGATGTTTTCAATCGCCTTAAAACGGCAATGCAAAACCACCGACATGCCTCAAACAGCACGATAAACTCACGCCCTGCGCAATAGAAATGGCTCGTTGGCTGCCTCGACGCTTCATGGTATCGAGACCGTGGCACTGATGGCTGGGCCGATCGCTGCGCCACCTAACCATTGTCGGTTGCCTATAGTATCCTTTATTTTTATATTCCGGAACACTTTGCGGAGTCCCAGCTGTAAAAGTCATGCACAGCTAATCTGAACAGCCTAATGCCTGCTTTTGACATTTAAATTTATGAATGTGGGTATTTCTGCTAGCTCTATGTCTCCAATCAATACTAAGGCACTCAACACAGGCAGCTCCATCGGGTGTACTTCAGCCTTGGCTATAGGTATACACTGTCAATGTGGAGCATTGAAGTTATGTTGCTTGCAGGCAGTCAATTATAGATGGCAAGAAAAAGGCCTTAAGTGCTGCTAGCGCTTCATTGCAGCAAACTCTGTTCATGCAAAGCTTGCTAATAGTTTCACTATAGAGTCTACTACAGTCAAAGCTGGTTTATTCAAACTCTAATAATTCAAACTTCCAGTTCATTTGAACTGACGCCCTGGTCCCAGCAGAGCCCCGTGCATTTCTATGGCAGAAAACTCCCAACAAATAAAATGTGTCTGTATTAAAAACGATTAACTCAAACTGGGAGTTTCTAGCTTTCATCCCTCTTGCAGAAGTAGGCACAGGGCAATTACAATGTGTTGATTGATTGATATGTGGGGTTTAATGCCCCAAAACGACCGTATGATTATGAGAGACGCCGTAGTGGAGGACTCCGGAAATTTCGACCACCTGGGGTTCTTTAACGTGCATTCAAATATGAGCACACAGGCCTACAGCATTTCCGCCTCCACCAAGAATGCAGTTGCCGCGGCCGGGATTCAATCCCGCACCCTGCGGGTCAGCAGCCGAGTACCTTAGCCACTAGACCACCGCGGCGGGACGATCACAATGTGTTGCAAAATCAAACCGAACCAAATTTACTTGAGATGCAGAACAACAAAACAGCAGCATTTCTCTGCAGATCAAAATTCGCATGCTGCGCTGGCACTCTTGGGCAAGCTCCAAACAATGCTCATGGAGTCGGGACAGAAGGAGCACAAGCAACTCCAAATTATCCATTACTTTTATTTTGACTTTTTAATTCTTTCATGTAAAGGAATGTGCCTTGGGGCATAAATAGTGTCATCTATTTCGTTATCATGAATGCTGTTATCATGAATGCATGTTGCTGCTTGTTTCTTGTGTATAAGTGACTGATCATATAATTCTGTTTGCTTTTTATATTCCGTTGAACTTAATTTACGAAACCGCCTGCCACAAATGTGTAGTATCACCTAATTCGCGATAACGATTTCAGGGGTGGCTTTTTTGGGCCTGCCTGTGCAGTGTGGCGCGGTGCCCAATTATTCCAGTGCCAGCCTGCTAATTCAAACACTGCTTAATTTGAACAATTTTATAGTCCCCTTAAAGTTCGAATTCATGAGCTTCTACTGTACCAATAACCGCATATGATCATTTTAGATAAGAAATAAGCACAGAAATTGAGTACTACATGCCTAAAGGTGTGGTATGAAGAGTACGACTAGAACCTGAAATAGAATTCAATTAGGTCAAGCTACCACCAAAGTGGAACAAGACCGTCAAAAATTATTGGCTCTACATCTAGCAATGAACAAAAGCTTTCTTCAGTCAGGACCAAGTTTTGTCAGAAAGGCAGATAAGCAAAAATAAGGAACCAGTCAAAAGCATAAAAAGTGATCGGAACATCTCCATGATGGGCACACCTTAGATCCGTCGCTTGGTACTCAAGGTTAAGCAGTCACCTGCAGGTATCTCTTCCTCCATCCAAGTTTCAACAAGGTTCAAACCCAATTCTCGCAGCATAATAGTATTTATATTAAGTGCACCCAATGAAAATATTTCAACCAAAATAGAACTTGCAACATGAAATATATCTTTAGAGTGCAACACCCCCAATGATTAAATATAGCAAACAAATACAAGAAATGTAGCTGTGAGTGCTAAAACAGACATCTCGTGAATGCCCTCTATCTTCAAAGCTTGAATCACTACATCTCGTGAATGCCCTCTATCTTCACAACTTGAATGACTACAACACCAAAATGTAGTCATCGTTACTGTAGAGGTTGTCCCTTCTAACTTGAGCCAAGGCTAAATATGAAAGGAGCAACAGATGTGAAATGAACTGGATGCATATTATTCACATTAGCCCACAGTTACTCACGCTATTTCATTGCCTCTTAACAAACTCATTATTATATTTCATTTGCAAACTTTTTAATTAATGGCCAAATACCAAAAGCGCGATGATTGAGTTCTAAAGCACATTCGGAATCTACCGACTAAAATGTTCCCTGTTGCAGCAAGTCTCACTTTAAGTATCATGTTGTCCTTTTTTTTCTGTGTTGCAAAGAGAGCCTGTGAAATATGAAAAAAGCAGGGCGCTCATGCTCTTCTATCATGATACTGTCAAGGGTGAAATCGGTAAACCAGGTTGGCTGGTTATCAGTTATGGCAAATTAGTCACACACACGTTATACTATAACAACACAGACAATTTTGGCAACAGTGTTTGTAGGGTTAAAAATGGAGGCAGGACTAGTATTACTTAAGTGCCTGAATGATTGTTTACTGCAATTTGGAAGAGAAGCCTATTGCTTAAATTTGAATCTCCTGTCCCAACTATGATTACTGTCAAGTGCCAGAAACACTAACACATATTTGCTCATAACACAGCGTACGTTCAAGAACAACAGAAACCAAATTTCTCTATCACATAAAAGGCCCCCATCTTATAAGTTTGAATTATCTCATGGGTTTGTGGTACACAAGTTTTTGGCCTGATGCCAACAGCAAAGTTGTGATAACCGAAGTGGCTATAGCCTTCTGTCAAGCCAGTTGACCAGATGGACGACTTCCAACACCAATGTGGCCTTATAATAGGATCCACCTTTTAAAGTCGCTTATCACTAGTTTTTTTCACCGTTCTGCTGACTCAATGCAGAGCAGCAGGCCAGAGAAACCTATATCTCAGGCCGGCCTCTCTATTTTTTCGCAAACAAGCCTCTCTCTCACTTTGAAAACATGCATAACTTTACAAAATGCACGTTACACGCACCGACAAATGTGTCGAGGGGATCACTTGGCGTGAGTCCAATGACATTGATGACGGAGTCTAGGTCCGCTGTCTCAAACTCCGTTCCAGAGGCCATTGGGCGCGCTTGCGTTGCACCGGGGCTGTGCCAGAGGCCCCCTCAAAAAGAGTAAGAATCTGCACAAAAAATGCCACACTTTATTGCCACACTAAGCGATATAGTGAAGCTAAACACCACTGCCTACACATACACCAAAATCTGCCATAAATTATAGCTTGCCTTTTCTTCTTCTTGTATGCTGAACTTCAGGCAATAAAATGTTTCAACAGTAGCATTTAGTGAACCAAGACCAAACAGTAGGTCACGAGTAATGATGTAATAGAAAGCTCTAAAATAACTCTGATCACCCAAAGTTTTAAAATGGGCCCTCAAAGCATGATAAACTTGCATTTCGCATTACACCTCCACCAGAAGCATAACAAATTACACGATACACAGGTTTTAGCAAATATATGCTCGTAAATAGTAATTGATTTTTATGTGGGGTGTAATATCCCAAAACCACCACATGATTATGAGAGCCCCAGTAGTGGAGGGCTCTGGGAATTTCGACCACCTGAGGTTCTTTAACGTGCACCCAAATCTGAGCACACGGGCCTACAACATTTCCGCCTCCATCGGAAATACAGCCGCCACAGCCGGGACTCGATCCCACGACCGGCGGGTCAGCAGCCGAGTACCTTAGCCACTACACCATCGTGGCGGGTCGTAAATAGTAATCCCATTATGAATGGTCTTCTTGTAGTCATGAGCAATAATCAGGGCTGAAAAAAAAATCACTGCCTTTAAATGCAACAGAAATGTGAATATGCACAAGCTGAAGATATTAGAAAAATACCAAAAATTTTACAGCTTTTAGGGCTGTTTAAAAAATCTATGCTACCACTGTATGAAGTCAAATGGCATTAAAGAGAAAAACAATTGCCTTCATATTATGAGATTACCCTTTCACGCTACCAAAAACACCTTTTGTACTGCAAAAAGACACTAAGACAAAATATGCACAAAAGGGAAATACCGATGCCACTTCAGAGTTCCCACACAAACTCACCATGACATCACAAATTTTAATGGTGCCTATTAGGGCCTACAAAACTCTAGCAGCAATTACTGTGCCCTAGGCGAGCCAAGACCGTTACATAGCAAGTTTCTGGAAATTTTTTGGTCATGAGTTCACAATAAGAAAAAGACTGCAGTCCACCCCAATGATATTCGTGAGCCGAGTTCATAATAAAACTAAAACTCCTTTTCTTTTCAGACAATGTACAAATATGGCCAAATTTTTAACAATAAAGTTATCAAATAATTTATCAGTTTAAATTTATTTAAAGTTTCAATTCATAACTTGTAATATGGGCTGGAAATCAACTTAATCACTCAGTCCAACATTCATGTTTAGTTATCTTAAATATATAAAGACTTTCTCTTAGAACAATCCAATTTAAGAATTAAATACTAAATATTATGATAGTTAAGTCTATTATTTGAAACCATCACAGACACGACATCAAAGCACACACTGCTCTTAATCTTTCACAAGGCATGCTAGTATAAAATTTCAATAACTTTTTTTCCCCCACCCCAAGTGTAGGGTAGCCAACCGAGCCAAGCTTGGTTAACCTCCCTGCCTTTCCTCTCTATCTCTCTCTCTCTCTCTCAATAACTTTAATCAAGGTATAAGGTGCAGCATTTGAGGAAACAGTGTGGGTTGACAGAGATCAGAAAATGCCAAAATGAGAAAAATTACCACAGAGCCATGAGTTTGTCAATACATTCCTGACCTTCTTTTCTCTTTTCTCCCTCCCCGTCTCCCTCCCTCCTGTGACGTTTATTCTAATTATGTAGGGAAACCCTAATACACTGTCAATTTTTATCGAGCCATCTATGCCACAGCAAGAACACCACCCCATAAAAATTATGTGCATTGTCAACAAACCCACATATACTCTCTATGATTGCACTTTATCCTATATGGTAGGGGTCCCAAACTCACCTCAGCCAGCGGGCTGAAGTCACCCCATTTAATGCCGCAAGGGCCAGGGAAGAAACGGAGGGAGAGGAGCTTTTACAATTTGCATGCCAATGCTGCCATTTGAAAGAAAACTTTCCAACGTCTCGTGTACAGGGTAATTCTGAAGGATCTCCAGTTCCAGGATTTCAGTAGCATGTCAACACCGATCTGGAAAATGACTCAAAACTGTGCACTGGTTGTGAAATATAATTTTTATTTCACGGTTATGTTTCAAAACAAAGTTAACACATGGAATGCCTCATGGATCAATGCCTTAAACCAGTCAGGTCTAAGTGGCTCATGAACATACTTGAAAAAAAAGAAAAGAGGGCGAAGACAGTGATATGAGAACCATGGAATGTAATCGAACGCCTCGCGGGCCGAGTGCATAAGGCGCCTGCTATATGGCCACAGATACGAAGGTGGCAACAGTACTATTGCCGCCCCAAAAATGGCTTATTGAGAGGGAATGTGCAAACTAAACAGACGAAAGCAAAAGCACAAACAAACAAGAAGATGAAGTATCGACCAGTGAAAGTTTATTTAGAAAGTTGGAGCATTTTATAAACTGACATATATTATGGCATCAAAAAAACATGTAAATTATATAAAAAAACAAGAGACTTGTTTTTTTATAGTACCAAGCATGTCTTGTCTGTTCATGCCATTACTTTTGTCCCTGCAGTTCGCATGCTTATTTGCAATGCTTCCAAACTTGCTCACCCACATTTATATTCCTTGAAAAATGGTGCGCAGTAAACAACAAGAAAATCTTAAACATCTGCATTATGCATGGCAAAAGCAATTTTTTCTGCCCCACCTTTTTTAAACTCGAAGGAAATGCAAAAAACTAAAACAAGTCAACACATGAGTATTTAACAAGTACAGAATAATAGCTCTTTTGTTTATACGATACAAAGCTACACAAGACAACAGAATGGCCGTTGCAGTAGTTCAGTGATTACGCTGCTTGACTGCTGACCCGAAAGACGCCATGTTCTATGCCAGCAATGGCAGTCGCATTTTCAAGGAGCTGAAATGCCAAAGGCTCCTGTACTGTGTCATTGCACCTTAAAAATTTAAGCTGACTCTAATCATCTGGAGCCCTTTACTAGAGTCTCTCACAGCCCAAGCCCGCTTGAGAAGTTAAACCATATAAACATACCCGTGACTCCCTGAAGTTACACAAACATATTCGCAAGACTCTGAAACCTCGCTGTTAACGTGATGTCCACGTAGCGTTGGCGGCAGTAGTTCAGCTACTGGACCTCACTGCAGACAATTGTGCATTCCTGTACACAGACTCTTGCATTTGAAGAGTTTGTCAGGTAAAATAATAATGAGTAGAGCTGAGCTACACAGAAAAAAAAATTAAAAAGATAAAAATCCTGTTGCCAACTTCTAAACAGATCACACGAGCTTATTTCATGGTCGAGAAAATCTAATGTATGCCTGCTCTTATCAATATACACACAAGATGCCAGCAGGCAAAATAACAGGCGAGTGACTTCAAAAGAAGAAACTATTGAAAGTTGTCTCCACTGCATAGTGACAGTGCTGTTAACAGCAAATGGCATTCAGCCTGAATTTGAAGCTAGATTCAATATGCTAATGCTATTATTCACTAGAGACATGCATGAGGAAGTTGTGCAGCATAACACTCCCTACAGCTTTCGAGTAAGCTCATGGGATGTTATAAGAGCATGGCTTCCTTTGTTTTATGCATGCCAAAAAAGTGTGTTACAATCAGAGAACCTAAATGCGTAACAAGAGAATGCACGATGGAGCGAACCAGAATACCAACTCTCAGCCCTACTGTACAAGTTTTATGCATATACATGCAACGCACAGGTTATAAAAAATTATGCATGTCAATGGTTCATCACAAAGCAGCATATCGGCTTCTCCAATTGCATGTCTGCAAAGGAGTCTGAAACTTCCGCATGCTCGCATATAACGCCTGGAAATAGGATCGTACCATGAACCACAAACCTGGCAACACACAATTTCGTCGGACTAATCGGATGTGCGGAAAACGGTTTCCACTGTTCCCCAATGACAGATAGACAGCTTTATCAAGGTGCTTAAGCGTTGCGAAAGAGCAACAGTAAACGCACAGGCGCAGATAGGTGACATAATCGTCAAGTAACTATAAACCCGAAAAACTCCGTTTCCTATTGTGCGACTCAAATACCGCCGCTTCCGTGATCTAGCTCGGCACTCGACTGCAAACGTTCATTCGACATATCGCTACTGCTTTCAGACAAAATTGGCTTCTTTGTTTATTTCTACACAACTTCTAAAGATCGAAGGCTACAAGGCTGCACATAAGCCCCATCATCACAGATTGATGGAGTATTCGGAAGGTCACTGATGTAGTCAAACTCGCACAACATTTATAATAATTTCGCAATCAGCAAGCACGCCTAGATCCGCAGGACAAGCGGTAGCACATCGCATGCTGTCACTTTATATCGCAGGAAGCCCGAGCAACTTTCAGCAAGTGTACAGATCGAAATTACTCTTTCAGGAACGCAAGAAGGGGCCGTGGCATCTACTAACGTGTCGTTAGGTGCATTGCGTTGCTAGGCGCCACCAGATTGAAAACAAGGCAGATACGAGGTATTGAGCTTTGTTTTTTTTTTTTCATCACAGAAAGCATATACAAAGCAGTTGATTTGGTAAATTGCACCAATTACGAGCAAGGTTACTAAGAAAACGAAACTCCTTCAAAGAGCAGTTCAGGCAAGTTCGGTCGGTCGGTCGCAAGTGCACACTCACCACAGGCGAATACTGTGAGCAGTACTTACCATTTTTAAGGCATAACAGGGTTAACTTCAGTACATTATTCATACAGCCAGCGGAGGTGCTTAGTTCAGAGCGTCTATGGAAAATGATAAGTGGCCAAATCCCACGGTGGGTGTATCAGCGATGTATACGGTTACCTTAGACTAAGATACAAATGTTCGCCAGTAGCCTAATACCCTAATAGAAGATTTCATTGCTACCGACTAAACTTAGAACACTCAAAAGATTCACATCGCCACTGAAAAGGCGCATAATATTGAAATACGCGAGAACCGAAACACTGACGCTTGTATGGATGGGCATAGGTACGACCAGCCCTGACTCTTTCGTTTAAAAGAAAGAAAAAAACGTCGGCACTCTTTATAATAAATAGCAAAACTCAAGTTGCTTGTAAGTTGTATTATGGTTAATTGTTACGTATTTAAATTATTGTGTAATATTGTATTGTTTTTCAAACGCATTTTAAGAGAAAGTTGTTATAGGCGGCAGCACTAAGTTTCTGTTTGAATTGTCATTTTGTTGATTAAAAAAATGCTTTTACTTTAATTTACTCATAGTACTATACATGCGGTATGAAGCTCAAAATATTCGCAAATAAATTTTAATAGCGAAGTAAGAACAGCTAGCGATTCAGTTTTCCATTTTATTGTGGTTCATGTTAGCCGTGTTCAAACTTTTACATTCGCTGTTCAAGTTTCCATTCAAGAGACTTGCATGAAATTATGATCTTTTTTTTTCACAAATGAAAAATTTTTACAAGTAAAAATTATGTACCGTAACTGGTGGAATGCAACTTTTCGCTTTACAAATTTTTGTTGAAGTTTTTATTTTGTTTCGTTTTCAGGTGAGGGGGGTAGTGTGGGAGATGAAGGGCTATTATGACTTCTGTCAACGTTTTGATCATGCGAACCACTACGTAAAAACAAAATTTTGAATTGAAACTTTTTTTTGTAAGAAATGTAATCTTGCCGTCTGGCTTCGGAGCGCGACAATTAATTATGGTAGACCTTCGGGTGGAAGCAGACCTTCGGGTGGAATAAAATATGACTCTTTATTAGCGACAGCGCACACCTAGTCATAGGCGGGTCGGCTAGATCAGTGGAACTGACTGCTCTGGTATGGACCATAGCTCTGGTCAAAGTTCTCTGGCAAGTCATCCTGAAAGTGAGTAAGATAAATACCTAGAGTTTTGATTTCGAGACATAAATATTTTTTACAGAATTAGCAAAGAAGCAACAAGTGAAAAAAAATAGATATAACGGTTTCATGAGCTGCAATTGTAGGTGTACTTAAAGCAGCCAAATTTGCTATGGAACATGCAGCGCTAAATTCAAGTTAAGAGAAGGAAAGAAAGAAAGGGTGGATGGATGGATGGTAAAACTTTATTTCATCAGAAAGCAACTGCGGATGATTCCGTGTTAGATGGCCATCAGCATAAGGTTGAGGGCGACCAGTGTGGCCCACTCTACGACCATTGTATGGACGACTGGGTCTGACCTGGTCAACACGGCCTCCCTGTGCTCGAGATAGGGATCACGCATAGTATTCACCGGCGGCGATACTATGCTACACTCCCAAAGTATGTGATCTTATGTTGCCACTGCCTGGCACCATTTGCTTTATCTCCTCGGGTAAATTTTGCTCAACACGTAAGTGATGGGAAAAGATCGTGTCTGCAGTTTTCTCCAGACGCATTCCTGATCCTTAGTCAACCGCTTGTGCGGCGGCGTAAAAAGGCTCCGCTCTAGTTTTTAATGATTCGTGATGTCATGAAAGGACACCAGCGCATCTCTCGTGGACCTCCCCGGAATGGGCGGCTCACTTGCCCAGCTGACGAAACCTCGAGCATTCAAGTGAGCCGCCTCGTTCCCAGGGTTCCCAAAATGTGCTAGCACCCAGACAATTTCTATTTCTCGTCTTGTAGCCCCGTTCGGTGGTTCCCTCACCAGAATTCGGATAGCTGTCTTCGAATCACTGAGAATCAAGTCTGACTGAAAATTAGTTATAGCTAGCGCTATTGCCGCTTCCTCTACAGTTTCTGAGGAGTGGTTTTTGACCGATCTAGAGGTGACCAAGCATCTCCACCTGTCCACCACCACATGCGTCTTTTGTGCTTGTGGTGGTTGTCACAGGTCCCGTTAATTAGGGAGGCGATCGCCGGGCTAATTCCAAGGGCCGAAGTATCGGCTCCCCGAACCGCACCACGAAAGCGGGGACAATTTGGAAGTGGTCCTATTTGGCGCGCCAGCGGACGCCGGCTGTGGCCCAAAGAAGAAGTCAGAGCCGAGAGTTGATAAACAAAACAAAATTATATTCTCAATAATGGCAGATCAAAAACAATACACAAGTATGCACACTCCACAATAGTTGAGTACAATATGTCACCAATCAAACAACGTACTACACAGTACAATCAGCCACACTCAAAACAACGGACACAGACAACAATACGCACTACAATGCAGTCGCATGCATTGAACAACCAACACACTTAAAGACTAAAGAGATAGAAAACCTATTCAGTCCAAAGTTCTTGGAACAAAAGTCTGGATGATACTCTTCCGAGAATCCCTCACTCAAAGTCCAGCGTTGTTGTCGTTCCGCTGCCCCCGAAGTTTCTCTTCCAGGATACCTCGACTGCCCCCGAAGTTTCTCTTCTAGGAAACCTCGCGTCTTCACTTGGCCACTCTCCAAGCTTCAACCTTCTTCACCGGAAACACATCGGCTTCACACATGCAGCTGTTGCCACGTGTCTTCGCTCGATAGCGGTAGACACACGCTCTTGCCTGTAGCTCGAGCCTTCACCCCTCAGGTGGAAATCCTCTTCTTCTCCTGCTTTGTCACTACGGACAAAACCTTCGCCGACTACACGGCGGAATACCCTACGCGCTCTGGCGCTAACTTCCGTCTTCTCCTGATCTCCCATCTCGGCTGCTCGATTAAATACCTTCCACGCGAGATTCCAGAAAGTTCTCATCATTTCGTCGGCGCGATACGCAGCGAAGGCTGAGGAGTGGGCGAGACGGTTCGAAGGCCGTCCGCGACGGATGACGCAACCCGGCATCACCCCGACCCTTTCCATCTAGAACATTCTAGGGCTTGCTCGGGCGCCGATGAGAGGAGGTTCGTCGGCGAACCCACGCTTCCGAGGGGAGAAGGACGCGCGCCCGAGGAGTCTTTCAATGCTTGTTTTCTTTTCTTTATCGTTGACCTCTCGGCGCTTCGTCGCGAGAATTTGGCGGCGCGCCCGTTTTTGAGCGCTCGTTTTGTGACACTGCGCTCCACTTTAAGAATATCACAACTCAGGGCGACCCAGGCACGCACAGATCGACAGTACGCTCATCCCTCGTGTCACTTGCAGGTTACGAACGCTGTTCCTGGCGGCACGGCATCACTGCACGTGCCGGAGAAGGCAGCCATCTACGTACGGAAGCCACCTCGGCTATCTCGAAGGTGATATCAGCGAGGGGATGCTCTGCCTCTTCTGCGCCGACTCCGGGATGAAGGTTCACAGCATATAAACCAGCCGCGTCTGCAGGCCAGGCATCACAACTCAGGGCGACCCAGGCACGCACAGATCGACAGTACGCTCAACCCTCGTGTCACTTGCAGGTTACGGACGCTGTTCCTGGCGGCGCGGCATCACTTCACGTGTCGGAGAAGACAGCTATCTACGTACGGAAGCCGCCTCGGCTATCTCGAAGGTGACATCAGCGAGGGGATGCTCTACCTCTTCTGCACCGACTCCGGGATGAAGGTTCACAGCATATAAACCAGCCGTGTCTGCAGGCCAGGCATCACAACTCAGGGCGACCCAGGCACGCACAGATCGACAGTACGCTCATCCCTCGTGTCACTTGCAGGTTACGGACGCTGTTCCTGGCGGCGCGGCATCACTGCACGTGCCGGAGAAGACAGCTATCTACGTACGGAAGCCGCCACGGCTATCTCGAAGGTGACATCAGCGAGGGGATGCTCTGCCTCTTCTGCGCCGACTCCGGGATGAAGGTTCACAGCATATAAACCAGCCGTGTCTGCAGGCCAGGCATCACAACTCAGGGCGACCCAGGCACGCACAGATTGACAGTACGCTCATCCCTCGTGTCACTTGCAGGTGTGTAGCAATTCTACAGTGTGAAATCAATACATTATTCGCTTGTGCCAGAGTCGCCCTGAGGCAATGGGGGATCCGCAGCCTGACGGAAAGGAGGCAGCCGGGGAAAAACTTTTTGACAAGATTCCAAGTACAGTAAAAGAGCTAGCATGCCTGGTTGTGGAACTCAATACTAAGATTGAAGAAATGGATTCCCACATTTATGAGGAACTTGGCAGTCTTCAAAAATCAGTTGACCTTATGAGCAAGGGCTTTGACTTTTTAAAGAAAACCTTAGATGACACGCAGAAAGAGCTGCGTGGCCTGAAAGCAGAAAATGTCAGACTGGTAAAAGAAAACTGTGAGTTAACTAAGCAAATCACGGAAACCAAAGACGACCTAGCTGAGCTTCAACAGTACAGCCACAGGGCTAACCTAGAATTAAAAGGCATTCCTAAATCAACCGAAAAGACAGTGACCGAGATTGTTACCGCGCTTAGCACGAAAGTTGGAGTAACGCTATCTCCAGCTGGTATTGATGTAGCCCACTGGGTACCGACTAAGGACAGAAATGTGTCAAACATTGTCATAAAATTCATGTCCTGCGCAGCCCGCGATAAGCTGCTTTATGCTACAAAAAAATGCGACTGAATACATCTGACCTTGGAATTGCCGGATCGACGCCTGTGTATCTTAACGAGCATCTCTGTCCTTCGTATAAAGCCCTACTGAGAAAAGCCATTGCCGCAAAAAAACGTCACAATTGGCGACACGCTTGGGTTGCAAACGGGTGCATATTGATGAAAAAAGCCGACAACTCGGACACTATCCGCATCCGCAACGAAGCCGATCTTGCGCAGATAGCATAAGCCCTTCTGTTATGCTGACTCCATCTGTAGTTGACAACTTCCATAAAACAAAAGGCACACGCTCCATACTTCACTGTAATATTAGAAGCGTTTCAAAAAACAACGATGCTCTTTGCTCCCTTCTAACCCAGCATTCATGTATGTACGATGTTATTGCGCTTACAGAAGTCTGGTTGATGCCTGGCGAAAGCTATAACATTCCTAATTACTTGTTTATATCCCACCCTCGAGAAGCAAATAATAGGGGAGGAGGAGTAGGAATATATATTAGGAAGCCTCTCGCATATAAAAAATGTTCATACTTACCTGCTGCTACTAGTTGTGAATCCTTATTTGTAGAAATTGATGATGTCA